CGCAGTATTTATTGATAGATTCAATCTGTTTTGTTTGTTCAGCCTTCAGCAGTGAAACAAAAGCTCCCCAAAAAACAGCGCTACCCTTTCAAAATGTTACCTCCTGCTTCTACGGTTGCTTCAGAAGCAGGGATGGCTTTAATTTAAAATTCAAATGTTAGTGTCGCCTTGCTTCATGTTTTTTTCTTCTTTTAAATTCTGCATCCATTTTCCCTGTGAAATAACTGAAATAGCTGTCCCAAATAGTGAAAAAATGGCTCGAAAAGATTAATACCATGTTTAGTGATGTACCAATAGTTCGTTAATTAAAACAAAATAGCTACTGAGCTGATAAGTTGGAGGAAAACTGGATTCAGTGAAACCATTAAAAATATCCTTTCAGTTTAACAACTTCTTCAGTTTTTATAAGCTAACGGCCACTACACTTCATAAGTACCTTGGGAAAGTATTTCATACTTTTTCTGAACTTTTCATAGTTTTTCTGCGAGAAAGAAATCGATATTGTTTTATTTTGGATTCGGTCGAATCAGCTCAAAATTACTCTCAAAATCAGCTTTCATGAAGAGACATCCATTAAATTGTTTTAATTTGATGTTCAAGCAGCAAATGAAGCTTTAAAAGCGTTGTCCCTGGGTTGAGAAAAAAAACATTTACCTTGTTTCCGTATTTAATAGAAAAAAAAACAGTTATAGAAAGAACCATCATGTAAATTATGAACAAATAATTTAAAGAACCATTAAAAACTTATAAAAATGTATAAGTTGATTAAAACGCTAATTTCATGAGCGGCATTTGCTGGTAGCGGCCACTGTCCGCTTCTTTCCACTGGACTATAATTATTCAAGAGGGTCTAATGAGCGTTCATTGTTTCGACTTTTGAAGAAAAGATGAAATGTTTGTGCTTGGTATGGTTTCTTAAACCAAATCTTTTTTTAAATTATGAATGGAGTTTTTCTGACTATCTGAAAGATTAACCAAGCATATTTCTTAGCCCAAAGCTGAAACATATTGCCTGAATGTATGGATGCCTGAATATTGCCAAAGGCTAATTAATCCGACTTTCGAAGAAAGTGCGGAACATTTATGCTTGGTGTGGTTTTTTTATTCAATTTTTTTTGGCTATCCAAGTAATAAATTTTACCTATAAAAGAAATTTATACCTATTGAAGATATCGACTCTCTGAATCAAAATGTACAAAGGTATTTTGCCTCCGATCGTTTTTTGCCAAGTTATGAGAGTTTGAAAATAGCCAATTTGGCCATGCTCTGGACTAGTTTATCCGCGCTTTGAAGATTTTTTTTTATAATGCTGAAAGCCTAAAGCGAAAGATTCATGCGTGGCTAATTTTCCCGCAGAACAAATTCATTCCAAATTGAATTGGTTGTATAAACTTCGTACTTTGAATTTTCCACACTTGATCAATGATATTGTCCAAAAATTATAGTTTTTAAATTTTTTCCCAAAAAGTATTCCTGGATTAAGGGGCAGTCGGAACATTCAAGGCTTTGTCCTGAATCCTGATATGCGAGATGTCTTGGTTCTTCACTCAATATATTTACCTGTTGTTCCAATTGTAAATTGCGTAACACTGTTAAAATTGATTCGATTTTTTTCTCAAAAAACCAGCTTCATGTATCGTTGCTACGGTTCGCAAAATTTTTTGGCAAAATAGGTTCAAACTTCTAAGCCATCCACTCTCTTCGAGATTCGAAATTGAGTTATCGTAAATCAAAAGAATATTTTCAGCGTTCGAATTTCCTTATCTCGTTAGAAAATCACCAAAAGCGCATATTTTATTTGTGGCAGCTCTAAAAATGGACCCAATTCAAATTCCGTGAAAGATGAAATTGAATTCGATCAGGGTCTAATTTGACGGATCAGGTAGCACCATAATTACCCTTGGTGCTAAAATTACTTGAAGTCTTCTGGAAAGCCTTTGTAAGGAGCCTGTTAACTACATCACTAGCTCGGAAGTTATAATGCATAATCAGACATAACAACCGGAGGGGCAATTTATTGGGGACATTTTATGGCATAATAACTCTTTCATCTTACCGATGCCCAAAATACTAAATGGAGAAGACCAATTAACCCTTTTAAACTGCGGGTCGAAAAAAATGCCGAAAAAATCCCATTGATAAGTAATGCTCAGGAGCGGATCCAGGAGTTTTTCGAGGGGAGATTTTAAAAAAATTGTCGAACATTTTGCCGAGCATTTTTTAGGTTGTCCAAAATGATTTTTCGAGCTCTGTAAACGTACCTCTATTTAAATGAAAAACTTAGGTTCAAAGAACAATTTCATTTGGAAAGAAAACTTTCAGTAAAAACAAAAAACTGAACACAATGAATTAAGTATCTTCTAAACTCTTTTAAAAAGTCAGTAGGTTTCCAAAGATAACAAGACTGTTCGTACCAGGGCTAAGACCTGAATGTTCCGACTGCCTTTTAAGGATTATGGAGCATTAATAACCTTAAAAAAATTGAATGTAATTAAACAAAATGAAATTTTTTTCTCTAAGATTTGAAATTTTTTGTGAAAATCATACCCCCACACGCCATATAAAGTACAAAAGGATAGATTTCGCTCCTTGTAATAAATCAATTATGACAAATAAGCGTCTTTCAACCAATTTCGAACGTTTTCCAAGACGGATTAACTCTCCGCTTATGCGTTAATAGCGCGAAGTATATCGCGCGTTAATTGTCCCAAATTGGCCAAAATGGCAATCTTTAAACCCCCGTAACTCTACAAAAAATAATCACAGGTGAAATATCTCTTCAAACTTAAGCTCAGCACAACAAAAGTCGCATCAAAAAGGAGATTAAGACTAAAAATCAGTATGGGAATTCAATCTCTCATGCACTCCTCAGTGTAAGTTAGTCTGAAAAGCTGCAAAATTGAGACCACGCAGAAAAATTGTTGGTTTAGTAAAATACCCCAAATTTTTTTGCAGTAATTTTCAAAATTTTTGTAATTTGCTTACCTTTCGACTTTTGTTTGTATTTTTGGTGAAAGTATAGCTTTAGTTTTTGAGAGCAGAGAACGACCAAAATATAAATGCGTGTTTTTTGTGTTTTTTTAAACTCATTTGGTCGAGTTACTGTGTCTCGTTTTGACTCATTTTGAATACCTTAAAAATCTTCTGAAGATGAAATGTTATCAAAAAAGCTCTTCCAGCTGAGTTTTCGATTTCAAAAAAAATCAACAATTTGTCTTCGTTTGAAAAGACGGATATGATTTTTCAGTTTCTTGCGAATTGCACGATGAGCTAGATACTGAACTCTCAGCTTAATTATATACTGCGATTTGTTTGAAATTTTTAATTTTAGGAGCAGGATTATACAATATTGATAATTTACAAAAAGTCTTGAAAATTTAGTTCATTTTCTATTTAGAAAATTTAGAAAATTTTTATATTCATTTTCAAGCCAGAAATTTTTAATCATAAATTCTATGAAATTGTATGTTAACAATTTAGTTTGGGAGACTATCAAAAAGGCATCAGCTTGTCGGGTAGCACCTCCATGTCAAGTGGCATCTGCATATATTCTTTCTTGCAGATCCTCTTGACATCACGAACAAAAAACAAACGTAACTCGAAAAAGGAACTGTCTTTTTTTGTGATTGTGGTTGGATGTTTCTGTGCTATTTGCACAGGAATGGGCTATCTTTGTTTTAATTGCACGTAAATCACCAGCTAAAACTTTTCGGACGGTAGCAACAACTATTTTATGACATTTTTATATTACATGTTTTTGAATTCATTGAGTTCAACTGCCCTGTGAAAAAACCAAATAACCTCCATGTTTTTTTCGGTAGTAGTTAGAATTATAACATAGGAATGAGCTGAGGATCGGCTAAACTGAAAATTAAATTACCATCCGTTCCTTTCAAATAGGTCAATGTCCTTTTATTTTTTAAATAGGGCGTGGCCAACTCTTTTTGTAGTTCATAAAGTGATTGGTTTTTAAATGATCGATTTTGATTAACAAAGGATGCGACAAAATTAGCTTTTTGGTGCGATGTGGGAAAACAAATTGAAAGGGTTTGTTTGGATCAGGGGTTAATTAAAATGCGGAAATCATTCAACTTTCATTTGCATTGAAACTTTGAGCGAAAAGACAGTAAAATTGCCTCGGGATAAACTGAAAAAAGAAAAGCTAAGCAGTCAGGAGCATCTCCCTCTGGCGTTTTCCTCTTCACCTCTTTGTTGATAATTAAATTGTTGGTTTTATGAGCTCGTATCACCTTGCAAAATTGATCACGACGGGTGCGAATTTTTGGTCGGAAAGCGGATGAAATTACAGCTCCATGCTAGCTGAACACAAGGACAGTTTATAGTTCAATAAACTAGTTTAGTTAAGAAGATCAAATTATTTCTTCACGAGGGAAAGGACTAACAGCTACTGTGACTCAAAACAAAGTCACATGCCTTTTTGCGGACACTTTTTCTGCTTGCGCTGGGTATAATTTTCCGTCATCGTCAGGCATCAACGAGCATGGATCGTGATGGGCCTCGAACCATCACCGACTCTTTGACTGAGAAGCGGAGATCCTAGCCCCCAGTCAGTGGCGTGCGCATAAATTTTTGTAGGGAGGGGGGGGGGGGCGGTTTTTTGAGCCGCCCCCCTAGAAACCTTTCTTTTTTAGGTCGACCAATTTGTTTTTCCGAGCTCTCCGAAAATACTAACAGGATCCTATTTTGTCAACAATTTTCTTCGCCGCAAGCAATTAAAAAAAAACACCCAAAAAAACGTAGTTTTTGGGCACTTTTTGGAAAACTTTGATAAAAAAATGCGTTTTCTCGCCTTTAGAAAAATTGTGAGGTTGATCTGGCAAAAATAGATGTCCTAAAATTATACCAAAGGTACCCTTTGGAAAAATTTGGCAACCACAATTGAGGGGGTCGCCCCCCCCCCCCCCCTCCCTCGACAGGCTACTGCCCCCAGTTTATTTTCCCTTCACTCCCGTTACATTTATTTCTAATTTCTGTTGCAGAGATCTGGATTCTTTTTCGCCCACTAAGCAGTTCCTGGTGAAGATCACAGTGACCACCCTCTACATCATAAACTACACGATTAACCCCTTCACCTACTACTACCTGAACGAGTTTTTTCACGCAGAGGTCACAGAACTTTTCCGAAAACTTTTCAGGTAACAAATTGGAGCAAGTTAAAATATGCGCCTGTGGTTTAGAAGAAGCTTAATAAAAAAGGGTCTTGAATATTTATGTGGTGACAGATTAGTTTTTCTAACAATCCCGCAAAACACTGAAAAGGGTGTCTAAGGCAATTTTTTGGAGTAGTTATGACATGAATGCATTTTACTGCCCTTCGAAGGTTTAAACGTAAAAACATCCTATAGTAGACGACTTTAAGTCTCTCTCTCCAAATTTACAATTCAGCAACCTTTGTCACCCTTCTTAGAAATCAACTTATGCTCCGAACGATTCTCTGCTCAAATTTCGTTTTCAATTTTTGTTCCGAACACGTCAGGAAGTGACGGGAGGGATCTAAGACGCAAGGTGTTTCCACAGCCCAATTTTAGGATCATTAAAGAAAGATCGCAAGGAGTCGAGTGTGGAATCATAAAAAACTGTATTGATCGTGATTCAGACTTCAAAAAAAAATCAAAAAATGTTGTCTGAGTGGCGAGAAAAAATAGCGTGAATGGCTTGACCACGGAACGCGTTACGATTTCCGCAAAACAAATAAAAAGAACGTTAAGCAATTCAAAATCACGATAGGGTTTGAATGATAAAATAGCTGTTTAGCTAAGGGGGATGCAAAATGGGCTATTGGATTTCTTAAACAAACTCCCTTCTATGGTACCTAAAACAATTTTCACCCATTTTCACGCATAAAATATTTTCACCCGAAAGGACTTACTCAGCCACTAAGTACACACTATTTTTTTTACCTGGTAGGGGAACTTTTTCGCAATATATGGGAATTCGTTAGCAAGATTTGTTCTATTATGATGCAGCCTTGTCTAGCTTTTGATAAATTATGAGTCATATTATGATATCGCGGAAACATATTCCTTCTTTCATAGGTGTTCGGGAAACAACTCGGCCGCAGCTAAATGTCCAGAAGAACATGATGAGACGCAAAATGACAAGCGCAGATTGAGTGTGGATGTCGGAAATGCAAATGGCGCCACTGATAACTACTATCTCACATCTGGAACTGAAGTACACGCGTTCAGCACTGTCGCCAATGATTCAATGATCTGAATTTCATTTCACATAATATTTTTTATTGTTCATTCCTCTTTTCTCGAAAAACTTAAGTTTGAATCTGAACAATTAAGGGTCAAAACTGACAGAAATCTTGCTTATCGACCAAAAAATGGTTATGACTTTAAATTAAATCAGCTCAAATGATCTTAAAATTTATTGTCTATTTGGATTTTTGAAGTAACTCTCTAAATAATGAAAAGAAGTCAAAAAGCTGTCAAATCGAATATATCTGCCCTTAGTTGTATAATTTCAATCTTATATTTATTTTCTAAATAGCAAAAAAGTGCTGGTTGAAGTAAAAAGAACTTGTGTAGCCACTTTAAAAAGGCAAAAATTTAGCGGACAGTACCGTAAACTTTTATTGTGATTTTGTTGTGATATTGGATACTCCCATATTGGACGCTCAAAAAGCTAAACTTTATGTTTTAATTTAACTTTTCTTGTACTGCATGCTTCTGAAGCTTATTCTTTTTTCGACAAAAAATCTTTCCTAAATGTAGAAGTTAAATTGATGTTGTGATTATGATTCTATTGCTAACTAGTGTTTCATAGGGACCTCTTTCACAATACCCCCCCCCCATGATACCCTGTAATTTACAAGGTGAGTTCTTGAAAGATGGGCATTTAGCTTAGCCGCGTTTAGCTTAGTTTACCTTAATTAGTTAACCTCATTAGACCTCCGGCTGGTTAATTTGAAAAATAAACGTAAAAAGCTTTAAATACAGGTGAAAAGCTCAATGCTTCAAGCATTTACGATTATATTTTTACCGAGCTTTAAATTTCCCACCTTTTGCCATAGGGAAGGGGGAGGGGGGGGGGGTGGTTGGGAGAGGTCTGGGGGTTTAGTTAAAGAGATCTTTTAGTTGTAAGTTAAGCGACTCATGCACTTTTGTTTTCCTTGTTGAACTCAAATATATTGTACAAAATGTGTAGTAAATTATATAGATTGACATTTTGTTTACCATTCGACCTATTTCTCCAAAACCCAAATACATAAATAGAGCTTATCGAGTGCAGATTATCAATTTAAATTGTTGCCAGGTTTTCTTGGTATACTTTAACCCGAGGTTCGTTAGAACCCATGTCAATACCTTATTTCGCATTCCTAAACAAGGGTAGTTTTTAATAAATATATATATAGATATTCTTAAATAGAAATCTTATTCCTCTTTTTCTTATTTGAGAAAAATAAATTGCCGGTCGATTGACACCTAACTAGCCTGGAGAATAGGACTTTCCGGTCGCATAAACATAGATCGGTTGTGGTCCATAAATATGTCATTTTCATGTCTTAGGAAATTAAGATATGGTGTAAAATTGCCAGAAACCACCTTAAATGCGTTGGCCACAATCAGTCAAACTATCTAATCGTTAAACAACCTTGAGCCGTTATGTACGCTACAAAAGAATTGATTAAGTTCAGAGGGGCAACATTTTCTCTGATCGCATTGTAAATCTAATGGTACCAAAAAAAAAAGATTTCAAACCTGCAACAAGGTAAAGAATAGAAAACTCATAAAAAGGATTGATTGCCGGGCCTAATCAAGTCGTAAAAACTTGCTCTGTGGCTTTGAAGATCACTTCACTTTCAGAAAACGTGTTGATGCTTAAATGCGAAATTCTTGTTTCAATGCTATTTTATGCAAAATCGGCTTTACCATAGAAATAGCAATTGATGACTTTGATCAACCGTTGAAAGTGCGATAGACATAAATAAGAGCTTTGAGTTAAAACTCATGAACAGCGTGAGGGGCGGATATGGGATTTTCTCGTGGGGGTGGGGACTTCAGGGCTTTTTTAGGTCCACTAAATTGATTTTCGTAGCTCTCCCAAAATACAAAAAGAACCAATTTTAACCAAGTTTTCTGCGTGACCAAATTTTCTGAAAAAATACCTTAGAACACTTAGAAAAAGTTTGACCAAATTTTTCTCCGCGCGCATTCCACCCTCAAAATAAGAACATTTGCGCCAAAAATTGTGGTATCGTTTAGCCAAAAAAGGGTGTCTTCAAATAGTACCCAAAGGAAGACTTTTTTAGTGTTCATGAGTCAAACCGAGGGAAGTGAGGCTCATTAACTATTCAAAGACACGTAGTTGGTTTTTTTTCTGAAAGAAATCAGATATTGCATCTGTTCTTCAAGATTTCAGGCTTTAGTTTTTTTAATCTTCAAAAACGTTTTCATCTTCAAAAAAATGCTTGTTCAAAGTACATAGCGCATCTTTTGAAGTTTTGTATTGCTTTATGGAATCAATTAGATAGCTACAAAATGTTTAAAAAATGTTTCACAATTTTTGTCATTAGAACTCGTTCGCCAAACTCTGTTCAAAAAATAAAAGCTTATCAAGAACAGATAAACAAAGCTACTAAGTTTTTATGGTATTATTGATTGCAAGGTCCCTAAAATTTATGCTAAAAGTCAAAAAAACTACTTGTAAACCAGGACAAAGCCTTAACTGTTCCGACTGTACTCTATCATCGATCACATACAAAAAATCAGAAAGAAAAAAACTTAAATTTATTTTAAAAAATTTAAGTTTTTTAACTTTTCCAACCAAAAGCTACGAAAAGTACCAAGTGATGATATTTAAGCTTGGTTACGAATTGAAAAGAGTAAATCAGCTCGTTTGAAGAACTTATTTTGCCGCTTACACTTTGATAGATTTGAAATATGGACGTCAAATTATTCTCAAAACTAAACCTTTATCTTTTTGTAAGATAAATGAGAGGTGATGTACCCTTTTACATATGAGATCCAAAAACAACAATTATAAGTAGTAGATGTTGGAGCTAAAGTGGGGGAGGGGGAGCATGGCGGACCCCATGTATTACGATACGTGATAGATTTCCGGTCCGCCATGCTATGTATTAACATTGGGTATAGAGTCTACAAGGAACTAGGATAGGGAATACCAATGGTAAGGTTTCATGGTTTGTGTGATGATAAGAGAATGGTTAGATTTTTCAGATTTTGTGTGGAAATGTCTAATTTTTTTGCATGTTGAATAAATATCGTAAAATCCACAGAAATTATATTTTTTTGGAGTGTTCTGGGAACCATTCGCCAATTTTTTTTTTGTTAGAAAGGAATAAATTGTTATTTTTCGACCCATAGAATCAGCAAAGTAGTAAATTTTGTCCACTCGAGCTGTCAGGGTCCAGTGTTCCCCTCTATCATTGCTTGGAGCTGAGTTGATGATTGCAAAAGAGTGTTTTGTTAGTTGAGGCACTTTATCAGAGGGGTGAGATCCCATCTACTTGAACCTGAGTTCAAGAAATCTTTCAAAAAATTGCAGAAGTGAAAAATTATCCATCTTTGCGATTTTAAGCTGATTTACATCTAAAAACAAAGAAATAGATAGTTTGATAGTGTAATTTAGGATAAAAAAACTAAGATTAATGACTTACACACATTTAGGTAATGAATCAACAAAGTATCATACACAAGCCTTATGTACTGGACAAAGACTATTGAACACTGCTTTACAGTCTATATTGTAGTAATTTCTCGGGTTTTCATCTAAACAGCATTCATTGTCTGTTTTTACTGGAGATTTAGGTCTGAAAAAAAAGATAGTGCAGAGACAATAACGATGAAAAGTCCCAAAAAGTTACAATATTTTTATAGGAACCTGAAAACTCAAAAAAAATAAACATTTTTAGCGATTGTTCCTAATTTTTCAATTTGAGCATTTGATAATCGTTTAGGACTATCACTTCCGTTGTTTGCTCCAAGGGAAATTGAAAAACAATTCTAATCTCAGGCTTTCAAATCAAAAATAAGAATGTAGTGATTTTGAAAATCCTCCATAGGAAGAGCTGGGAAATCTTCGTTAAACTAAATTGCTTTGATTGTTGTAACATAAGGACGACAAGGAGAAGTTGTATGTAATGAAACAACTTCTCTTCCACCCCGAATAAATCTAAGCTCTCTCAAATGGAATTGATGATAGCTGAAAGGGTATTGCAACAGCTATTTTTCTTATTGGAGCGTTATTGAAAACATTTTTTGTATGAATTGGTTTTGACAAAATGGAATGATAAAAAGTCTTGCTTCAATTTCCATGTAACTGTATTCAGCAGGCTCTTTTTCCAGATTTCATTGCTAGTATTGATGATTAGGTTCAACAGCTAAAATTCTTCCAGTAAACAGCGAACAGTCAACAGTTATCAGACTAACATTTGGATTATCAGATAGCATATAAAAATCAGGTCTAGCGCCAATTAGTTTGATTTGCACTTTGGTATTTCATAAAAACAGTTTTTAGCAAGTAAACAAATCAATCGAGTAAAAAAGTTATCCCTGTTCTAAGGAATTTGCTCTATCAAAAACGGGTGCATTTCAAAAGCATCGGGAAATTCTTCAAAACTGTATCAATGACAACCAATAATTCCTTTGTTACTCACTGCCGACGAGTTGAATTCGTTCGATATTTTCTCCTTATTAGGATATAATCCGTTGGATTGCAAACCACTGTGTTTTAAAATAAAGTTAAAAATTGGAGAATAGTGAATGTAGTATATTGTTTACATAAGTTAAGTAAGGATCTGGTTCCTCATCCGAATCATCTTCCCATTTTGCTTTATGTTCTGCTTTTTCTCTCTTGAAAGCATCAAACAACCTTCCCTTGAATAAGTGGGTATCACGCACATCCAAGTAGAGATTACGATCCGTTTCAAATTCCAACTGAGTACTGCTTTCATCTAGAAACGTACTGGGGAATACTTCTTGTGCGTAAGATGACGTAATTGTTTCCAAATTTGGGACTTTATCAACAATCTCCAATGGAAAACTTGTAAAAACCCTGTACCAAAAATGACTACTTTGGTTTACTCTTGTTTTATATTGTCAAAAATGTCTTAACGAGAGCGACTGGATTTTGATCTACTCTTTTGAGAAATGTATCTGGTTCTACGCTGGGATTTCTTTTTTCCACCTCCCGATTGTTTTAAAACTGTTTTGGTCCCACATCTCCTGCCAATTTTAAAAAAATTTTACGTCCACCAACAACTTCCCCAATCTCTGGAGCAGCGATTTTAAACAAATCTGCTCCAAACTTTTTGCAGCTGGGACTAATTGTTTTTTCATAAAGCGATTTGCAGTTCTCCCAGGAGTTTGCGGAGAGCACAAAAACCTCTTCCACCTTGTCTAGCACGTCCACAAAAAACGAGATGAAATTTGAGCAACCATTTTGTTTGAAGTTCAAATCAA